ATTCAATTATCTTTTTGGATTATAGTATCACACTGTTTATTCAACTGAGCTTGAACTGAGACCCTTGAATCTTCTTCAGATAAATTTCTGCTTTATTGTGCCTCTCCCATCTGTGTAATTCTGAAGTTGATTTTTTGAACCCAGGGATAAGATTTTACATTTTTTTCTCTTTTAAATTTCATTCTATTCTATTTGGTTTAATATTCTGTCATCCTTTGGATTAGTGATCTCTCCAGTCTTCAAATTTGGTGAGTCTGTTATCTATACCTCTATGCAAACAGCACAGAGGCCTAGGGCACCTCTCTGAAATTTTCCCTTCATGTTACTATTATAGCTATTATACATATGAAATAATGAAAAACCTATTGCCATCATGCTCATATTTTTCTATAGCAGGAAATAAGTTATTTTTTAAATGGAATTTTTTTCAATTATCAAGCACTGAAACCACGCCCCCCCCATAAAAGGCAAATCAAATCTTGCAACACATACACAAGCAATGAAAACAAAGATGATGGCCATGTCCACAAATGTGTATCTCATTCTACATGCTGAGCTCATCACCTCCCTGTCAGGAAGTGGACAGCAGGCTTCATCACTGGTCCTCTGCAGTCATGGCTGGTCATTGTGTTTATCAGAGTCCTTATATCTTTCAAAATTGTCTGTTTTCATAATGTTGTATTAATAATATAAATTGTTCTCTTGTCTTTGCTCCTTTTACTCAGCATCGGTTCATACACATCTTCCTAAGTTTCTCTGAATTCATCTCTTTCAGAAGTTCTTATGGCATTCCATTATATTCATATACCGTAATGTGGTCAAGCATTTGCCAATTGAAGAGCATCCTCCCCCCCCCCCAGTTTCCAGTTTTTTGCTCCTACAAAAGATTATTATAAATATTTTTGTACATATAAGCCCTTTTCCCCTTTCATTGATCTCTTTGAGGGCAGATGTCTATAATGATATCATTAGATCAAAAGCAAATGCACAGTTTTGTAACTTCAGGGCCATCATTGCATAGTTACTTTCCAGAATGGCAGTACCAATTCACAGATCCACCGACGGTGCATAAATGTGCCTGTTTCCCATAGCGCCTCCAACAGCAGTCATTTTCCTTTTCTGTCATCTTTTCCAGTCTTATGGGAGTGTGAGGTGCAACCTCAGAGCTGCAGTAATTTGTGCTTCCCTAATGTGATTTGGAGGACTATTTTTTTCAACTGGCTATAAATAGCTTGGATTTCTTCTGTTGATTTCTTCCTGACCTTTAACTCATGAGATTATTTACCATAAGCTTCCATAAAATCTTGACAAGCTGTGTTAAAAGGAAAATATCTTTGGGCTTTTGCCCTCATTAATAAGGCAAAACTCAGGAAAAAAAGAGAATTAAGTAGAATTTATTAAAAAATATGTCAAGGTAGCAACATGTTGGCAGGTTGCTCACTAGAGATCAGCAAGTGATTCAAGATGGAGCTAGTTTTTATTGATAACTTTCATAACGAAATAAAAACAATTCAGATATGTCCACATCAGCAGAACCCGATAGACCATTGTGTCTCAGCTCCTCCCCAATTTTCATATCATAAGGAAATGAGGTTATAGATAAGGGGAATGGGCTTCTAAGAGCTGGCTAGAAGGTGGGGGATGACCTGCTAAATTCTGGATACCAAGTAATACAAAAGCTACAGACTGGGTGCTGCCTTCCCCAACAGAGTTCCCCCAACAATGATTAGCAAGTACCTTGAAAACAAGGCAGACTGGAGACAATGGGGGTCACTGCATAAATTTCAGCAATTTGCTATACAAATTTCAATACTGTATTTAAATTATCCTGATCTACTACTCCAGTAACAGTTCCCAGGAAATGAGGTTAGCCTGTTTTTGATGAAACAATGTTGGCTTTTGGTAATCACCATTTCTCTCTCTCTCTCCTTCCCTCCCTCTCCTTCCTTTCTTTCCTTTCTCTCTCCCTTTTTTCTCTCTTCATCTCTCCCTCCCTCTCTCTCTACTTCCCTCCCTTCTCTTCTCTTCTCTTCTCTCTCTCTCTCTCTCTCTCTCTCTCTCTCTCTCTCTCTCTCTCTCTCTCTGTCTCTCTCTCTCTCTCTCTCCCTCTCTCTCTCTCCTATTAAGAGCACACTCTGAAATGTTGCCAGGAATGGAAGTCAAGCTCACTGGTTTAGAGTCTGCAAAGTCCATTGTTTTTCCCCTTTGGAGGGGAAATTGGGGCAACTGAATATCTTTTTTTACTGCAGTTGATCATGCACACATTTGATGGTGTAACATGAAAATATCACATTTACACTCAGAAGATGGAGTTCAGTGTCTCAGCTCTGGAGTTAACAACCCTTCTGTTACTGAGATTGCTGTGAGAATACAGAATGAGAATGTAGGCTAAGAGCCTTGTAAAGCACAGGGGATAGGGAATGGATTCATGCAGGAGGTGGTATTTGAGTGAAACTTTGAAGGAAAACAAGAGATTTTAGAATGTTAGAGTAGAAAAGGATCTTTGACGTCTTCTAGGATGAGGAGTGGGGGGCACCTCTGAGCACAGGAGAGTTTAAAGAAAGAAGGCAGGGGGCAGCTAGGTGGTGCAGTGGATAGAACACCACCCTTGAAGTCAGGAGGACCTGAGTTCAAATCTGGCCTCGGACCAAACACTTGACACTTACTAGCTGTGTGACCTTGGGCAAGTCACTTAACCCCAATTGCCTAAAAAAGAAAAAGAAAGAAAGAAGGGCAGAATCACCTCCTTGGGCATTTGCAGTGAATTGTGTGCTAGAAAAGAGAGATCAGTAGATCAGCAGAGGTATACTTCCATAACTAGGACAGAATCAAAAGAAACTGGGCTTGGGTTCAGAAAAGTTTTGATTTAGAACTGAGATAGACTTAGACCCAAACAGAAAAAAAAACACATTGCCCAGTGATGTCTCCATCTCTCTAGCTCCTTTTTGAATTAGTGAGCTCTTGTCTGGGAACCCATTTAAGGAAGTGGCCAGGCCATCCATACACACTTCTCTCCCAGTTTAGCTCCTGATCACTCAGACTTTTCCACCTCTACCCCAGGGGCCTTCTCATCCTGGAGATACCTTCATCCTAGCTGGTAAACTTCCCCCCTCCTTCTCCACCCTGGAGCTCCCTTTCACATGGCAGCCATCTGCTGTTGTCCTGATCTATATCTGGCCACTGGACCCAGATGGCTCCCAGGGAGAGAGTGAGGCTGGTGACTTCGCACAGTTCTCCTTCACTTAAATCCAATTCACTTGCAAGTCATGGCATCCACCTTCCTGATGTCATGGTTCTCTTTGAGGATGAAGGACAAACAACAACCATCCTTTTTCATGCTGTATTTTACCCAGTCTCCTTACAATGTAAACTCCTTGAGGATTCTTGTTCAGTCATTTCCAACTCCCCTGACCCCATTTGGGATTTTCTTGGCAAAGGTACTGGAGTGCTTTGCCATTTCCTTCTCCAGCTCATTTTACAGATAAAGAAACTGAGGCAAACAAGGTTAAGTGAACTTGCCCAGGATCACAAAGCTAGTAAGTGTCTGAGGCCAGATTTGAACGCAGGTCTTCCTGACTCTAGGCTGTCCGAGACTTAGCTGTCCTTGAGGGTAGGGACTGCTTTTTGAGGGGCTGCTATTTGTAATGGAGGATGGCTAGATGGTGCAGTGGATTGAATGCCAGGCTTGGAGTCAGAAAGACTTATCTTCCTGAGTTCAACTCTGGCCTCAGACACTTACTAGCTGTGTGATCCTGGGCAAGTCACTTAACTTTGTTTGCCTTAGTTTCCTCATGTGTAAAATGAGCTGGAGATGGAAATGGCAAACCATTTCAGTATCTTCATCAAGAAAAGCTCAAAAGGGGTCACAAAGATTCAGGCACGCCTGAAAAACAACTGAACAACAAAAAAATAATGAAATTGGAGACAATGTTAATGTATGACAAGTAAAATGATCCCTAAGTGTCTTTGAGTCATTACTTATAACTTCTACCCATAGCCCTCCTCATTTAGCAAAGTCATTTCTATGCTCTAAGTGACCACATACTATACTGAAGCAAAGAGTATTGTAGGAGAAGTAGACGAAGAGAAAAGGGGTGGACTCAAGGGTATTTTGAGGGGAAGACCTCCCATTCTTTGGCTGGTAATGGGGGTGGAATGGAGATTTTCCCATTTGATGAAACTATCCAGGGAGTTTTCTTTTTGATATATTCTCTAGATTATGTTCCAGTGAAATATATGTATATGTTTAATACATATCTATTTATGATTTTTGTTTCCTTCCCAATTTATATTATAAATTCTTTTAAAAGTAGGGGCACCATCTTTCATTTTTTAATTCTCTACATACAATGTTGCTTGAACCATTGTTTTGCCATAATGTTGACTCCAAACTTGCTGTTATGTTATCCTGGACAGTGTCTGTCTTTTTCCATCTCTCTCCTTACCCTCTTCCCCCCTCCCAACTGTGCTTGGGAAATCCCTTCACCTGATTGGTGGAGATCACTCAAAGAAGTTAACAAGCAATTATTATGTGCCAACTATGTGCTAGGCATTGGGATACAGTGAAAAAAGTGAGCAAAGAGCTTCTGCTCTCAGGGAGCTTGCATTCTAGGGGACGACACGCGTATGTACGCAAATATAAAAGCTACAGAAAGTAAGAACAGCTTTGAGTGACTAAGTCATTTTGACTATTATAAATACTCAAATTAACTACGAAGGACATATGAAGGAAGACACTATCTGCATCCAGAGAAAGAACTCATAAATAGAAGTGGGTTTAGAATGATTTTACATATGTATACACACACACACACATATACATGTATGTGTCTAATGGTAGCCAGCTCTAGGGTGAAGGGGGAGGGAAGGAAGAAAAAAAGGGGAAAAAAATTACGTGACAACTTTGTTATATATTTAAAAGGAATAGCAAATTGTACATAATAGATTTGCAGTTTCCTGTACAATCATCTTTTTTTTTCCTATTCTACCATGTTATAGAAATGATTGTTTTACTTCTTAAGTTCAGCATAAAATACATTAAATTTCAAAAAAAGGAAGTAAATCCTGTGGGACAGCTGCACAAGCCATAGGGCACCATGTTTGTAGAGAATAGAGACAGCCTCTCTGGGGCTCAGCTCTGAGCTTCCTCCTCTTCCTCTTTCTTCTCAGTCACCCTCAGCCAAGCCAGGCTTGATCTTCTTCTTCCTCAGTATCCTTTCTTCGTCCCTTCATCTTTATACTATAGAAGACCAGCTTATACTTCCAGTGTTTATGGATTCTGGGTATTATCATCCCAACTCCCACAAGTGCCCAGAAGGAAGCTGTGTCTATTTCTCCCTTGGAGTGTTAAACTCCAGGAGACTACGGCGTCTTCTCTAAAGCTATTGTCTTGAGTTTTCTCCTAATATTAATTTCCAGTGGTTACCACTCCAAGGAAGATCAATTTGCTTTTGCAAAGGGAGATTTACTGGAAAGCTATAGCAAGAACCAAAGTGTAAAACCCCTCCCTGAACCAGAGCACACTCTCTCTGCCACTTCATTGGTCCCCAGAGAAAGTGGGCTCAAACTTAAAGAATTTGGTACAAAGACTTTGTCCACCAAGTTCACTTCTGAAGGCAGCACAGCTGATGGATGGAGCTGCTCTCTTCAGGACATGGCAGCATCATAGAGCTGGTCCATTGCTGGGCTAGGGAAAGCAGATTACTCCTTTAGGGCTAGTTCCTTCCCAAGCTCAAATGATGATGTCTCGTGAGTGGTTCTTCTAACGTTTTGACTTCTCAGAAGGTCCTGCAACCAAGAAAAGAAGACACAAATTGGAGGTAGCTGCCTCCAAGACTCAGGCTTGTCTACGGGGCCATGTTCCTCTGGCCAGGTGGGAGGAAGACCACCTCTGTTTCTTCCCCCCACTCCATCCTCCAGGCCCTTGGAGCTCAGAAAGTTGTCTTAATCAGGAAAAGAGAACAGCTTTCTTGGTTGGAGCTTTCTGTATGCCCTCTCGGTTCTGAGTCAGCAGCCAATGAAAGGTCCACAGTCAGTGGACAGGAAACAGCAACCAAATACTTGGGAATGCTCTAAAGGGGAGAGCTCGATACACTTCTAGAGGCAGGTTCACCAAATTCCACCCTCCCAAGGCTGGGTCCTCAGTTCCATTCTTGTTACCCACTCTTCAAAAATGTATAGACAACTGGATCATATCAATATCGTCTAAGTATTCATTATTAAATTTATTTCCAAACCCATGTTTGAACAATTCAGAAAAGTGGCAAACTAATTTTCTTATTCTGTTTTTGGTTTGATATGATCAGTTTGGGAAGCTAGGTGCCTTGGTGGATAGAGAACTGGTCCTGGAGTCAGGAAGACCTCGGTTCAAATCTGGCCACTTACTAGCTGTGTGACCCTGGGCAAGTTACTTCACCCAGTTTGCCTCAGTTTCCTCATCTGTAAAATGGTAAACTACTCCAAGATCTTTGCCGAGAAGACTCCAAATGGGGTCATGAAGAGTCAGACGCAACTGAAAGGACTCAGCAGCAACGTAGTCAATTTGTGATCTAATTTATCATTTAATATATCATTTATCATGTTATCTAACTTATGATCAACATTCCTTTCCACTCTGCGCCCTGTGAACTGTCATTCTTTGTGACAGCCCTAATCTCTATAAAGTAGGGATCAGAAGATGGTTTATGACATAAATTAGATAATGAAGTAAATGAAACAAAGACCCATGTAAGTTGCTCTGAGGGGCCTTCCTCCCTCTGCTTATCTCCAGTTTATCTTGCGTGTGGCTTGTGGCAGGGATTTGCGTGTAGTCTGTCCCGTTAGATTCAGCTCCTTGAGAGCACGGACTGGTTTTTGTCCTTCTCTGCAGCCCCAGCACTTAGCACAGAGCTTGGCACGTGGCAGGTGCTGGATAAATGTTGATTGATTGGTGGTCTTGTGAAAACAAAACGTAAAAAACAAAAAGAAAAAAAAAACAGAATGTGACCTTTGGCTAGCCTGATAACCCCGATTAGGGTGGGGGATGTTATCAGACTAGCCGAAGGTCCCCTTCTGTTCCTCCTGCTTTGATGCCTCTGTCTGCAGCAGAGTGGATGCTTCACACCGTATTTCAGTGCTTAACCTGGAGGGAGAAGCTAATCTTGAGTGCAATGCCCACATTTAGTTTCTAGTGTTACAGTCTCCAGTGGGCGACTTACCATCACAAAAATGGCTCCAAAGGGATTGGAAGAGCAACTGTACTCAAGACCAAGTGAACACAGAAATGACAAATGCAATAGAGATGATGGGTTTTATGGGCTGGGAGGAAATTAGAGTCAGATGAGACTGAAGGACACAAAAAGGAAATTGATGTTAAGATAGTTAAAAGACTGAAGGCTACTAAAGCTTTGGGGGAAACTACACCTCTTCTTCCTCTTCTCCAGAAGAGACAACCAAGGAAGTACCAGTACCTACATCCCCTCTGCGCACTTTTCCATCACTAGGAAATCTTGTTTCAAGTAATCTCCCACACATATTGAAGGTATGTTATCTCACGTGGATGTTGTGAGGCTCCAACATGTGCTCTGTGCTAATCAGTCAGTCAATAACTGTGAGGCAGCCATGGATCCCTAGAGCTTTGCTACTCAGCCAGTCAACAAATATTAAGTGCCTGCTGTGTGCCAGGCACTGTGCTGAGGCTGAGGATACAAATGGAGGCAAAAGCCAGCCTGCTCTCAAGGAGCTTACAAACTAATGGAAGAGTGGGAATGGAAAGGGAGTCCAGCCTGGGCAGTTTGATTCAGTGAGCATTTATTATATGCCAGGAATGGCATGCAGGAACAGAAAGTAAGCCAGTTTGACTGGACTTGGAGAGTGTGTGTGACCTGTCTAGGAAGGTAGGTGGGAGCCAGGCTGTGAAGGGCCTCACCTGACAAAGAGAGGACTGTGTGGATTTTATTCTAGAGGCTAGAAGGAATCAATGGAGCTTTTTGAGCACAGGAGAGACAGCCCCCTGACACTGGGGAGGTGATGCCGTGATGTGCAAGTGAATCAGATTTATCTCTCTGGCTATATTCCTTTGGAAGCTGTGTGAAGGAGGATTAGATAGAGGGCAGAGGCTGGAGACTTGGAGACCAATTAGGAAGTGATCGGAATAGTTTGGGCAAGAGGTGATGAGGGTTTGAACTAAGGAGGTGCTAGTATAAGTAAGAAGGGAAGAGAAAGAAGAGATGGTGTGGAGTTAGACATGACAAGACTTGGCAGCGGATGGGATGTAGAGGAGGTCGTGAAGAATTGAGAACGGCCCTGGAGTTAAGAAGGATGCTTGTACTCTGAGCACAGATGCTGAAGTTAGGAAGAAGCAGGGAAGGATATTGCATTCTGTTATGGGCACATAAATTCTGAGATTCATTGGGAAATGTCTGATAGGTCATACAAGACTGAAGCTCAGCAGAGAGATGGTGATCTGTAGTCATTTGCTTAAGATGGACAAAATGGAGCCCATGGGAGCTGATGAATGAGATCACCAAGAAAGCAGATAGACAGAGAACGGAGAAGAGGGATCAGCGCAGAGCCTGGGGTATAAGGTTAGTGGTGGCACATAGAGGATGCTCATGAAGAGATCCCTGAGGAGCAGCTCGACAGGTGGGAAGAGAGAACAGTGTCAGCAGAACAGAGAAGAGAGCATCCAGGAGGAGAGGATGTCCACCATGTCAAATGCCACAGAGAGGTCAAGAAGGATGAGAACTTAGAAAAGCCTTTGGATCTTGGCAACTGAGAGATGACCAATAACCTTGGTGAGTGATTCCAGTTGAGCAATAAAACTGGAGCAAGAGTTGGAGAATTGAGTAAGAGGAGAGGACGTGGTGGTAATCAGTATAGACAGCTTTTTCCAGGTGGATGACTGTGAAAGAAAGGAGTTATACAGGACAATAACTTGAGAGAAGAATACAGTCAAGTGAAGTAGTTTTTTGTTTGTTTGTTTGTTTAGAATAAGGAAGACATGCAGTGACTGCAGTAATCTAATAACTGATAAACCCAAAGACCCCAGCTTCTGGGATAAGAACCCACCATTTGATCAAAAACTGCTGGGACAACTGGAAAAGAGTATGGCAGAAACTAGGCATTGACCAAAATCTCACACCATATACCAAAATAAGTCAAAATGGGTTCATGATTTAGATATGAAGGCTGATATTCTAAGCAAACTGGGAGAGCAAGGAATAGTTCACCTGTCAGATTTATGGAGAACAGAAGAATTTATGACCAAACAGGAGATAGAGAACATTATGAAATACAAAATGGATAATTTTGAGTATATTAAATTGAAAAGTTTTTGCACAAACAAAGCCAATGCAACCAAGATTAGGAGGGAAGCAGAAAACTGGGAAAGAATTTTTACAACCAGAATCTCTGATAAAGGCCTCATCTCTAAAATATATAGAGAACTAAGTCAAATTTATAAGAATACGAGTCATTCCCCAAATGATAAATGGTCAAAAAATATGAACAGGCAATTTTTAGATGAAGAAATCAAAGCCATCTATAGTCAAGTGAAAAAATGCTCTAAATCACTATTAATTAGAGAAATGCAAATCAAAACAACTCTGAGGTACCACATCACACCTATCAGATTGGTCAATATGACAAAACAGGAAAATGATAAATGTTGGAGAAGATGTGGGAAAATTGGAACACTAATGGATTGTTGGTGGAGTTGTGAACTGATCCAACCATTTTGGAGAGCAATTTGGAACTATGCCCAAAGGGCTATAAAATTGTGTATAGCCTTTGACTTAGCAATAACACTTCCAGGGCTGTATCCCAAAGAGATCATAAAAATGGGAAAAGGACCCACACGCACAAAAATATTTATAGCAGCTCTTTCTGTGATGGCAAAGAATTGGAAATTGAGGGGATGTGCATCAATTGGAGAATGGCTTAACAAGTTGTGGTATATGAATGTAATGGAATACTACTGTGCTATAAGAAATGGTGAGCAGGTAGAGTTCAGAAAAACCTGGAAAGACTTGTACGGTCTGATGCTGAGTGAAATGAGCAGAACCAGGAGAACATTGTACACAGCAACAGCCACTTTATGCAGTGACGGACTTTGATAGACTTAACCTTTCTCAACAATGCAAAGATCTAAGACGTCTCCAAAAGTCTCATGATGGAAGATGCTATTCACACACGAAGAAAGAACTACAGAGTTTGAATGCAGATGGAAGCATACTATTTGCTTTTTTCCCCTTCTGTTTCCTCTTTCTAGTGGTTCCTACTATTGGTTCTAATTCTTCCTTACAATATCACTAATGTGAAAATATGTTTAATAGGAATGTATATGTAGAGCCTATATCAGATTGCACACCATCTTGGGGAGGGAGGGGGAGAAAAATTTAGAACTCAAAAGCGAATGCAAGTGATTGTTCAAAACTAAAAATAAATTAATTTTAAAAAAAGAATAAGGAAGACATGGGCATGTTGCAATGGAGCAAATAGAAGGAAATCTAATGTTTTAGAGCAGGGGTCCATAAATTTATAAAAAATTGATAACTATTTCAATATGATTGGTTTTCTTTGTGATCCCATGTATTTTATGTATTCAAAAATATTCTTCTGAGAAGGGGTTCATAGGATTCACCAGACAGCCCAAGGTGTCTACCACACAAGAACACTTGTGGTAGGCCTGGACATTGCAACTGGAAAACGAAGACTTTGGAAGTTCAGGCCGTGAAGAATCTTTGGCGCCTTTGTTCTTTGTACAATCTCATTATCACAGGTTCAGAGGTGAGTTTCCCAGAAGTCAAGGCTGTAAAGGATGGCCTCCTATCTCTATAAGAACAGCCCCAAAGAGTCAGCCACGGAATGGGCCACTTCTCTTTTGTCTACTTACTCCATTATGTTACTCAGACATCCCAAACATAGATCTGGTAGCAGAGGTGATAGATAGTGCCTTGTTTCCCCATCAATTGCCACCCTTGAACCACTCCCCAAAAGTGAGGGAACAACCCTAACATACATCAGAGATGATCCTTTTCCAGAACAAAAAGGGAAAGCTGGGAAGCCATTGTGGGAGATCCCATATCACTCCAATCTGGATGCAGATGTGGACTCCTTTCCTTAGCCAACTATAAAGAACATCCTTTTACAAACCCCCTTGATGTATAAGTCTTGCACCTGGGTTTTCTCTTTTTTTCCCTTCATAACATGGGTGCCCATTTATATCATCATTCATTTGGAAAGTCCTTTGTAGGCAAAAGTTAGGAGCTGAAATGGGTGTGAGAAACAAAACAAATCTCATTTTAAAAATACCCAGAACTCACATGCATAGCCCTCATGCAAATGGCTGTGGTGAGTGCCCCTAATTCAGGGAAATAACAGAAATGAAAGTTGGACCGATTTGCATCTCCACCAACAGTAGATCAGGGTCCTTGTTTTTCCATCAGCCTCTGCAAAATCAGTCATTCTCCTTTTTTTTTTTTCATCAGTTTTACTGATCTGAAGGGTACAAGGCTGTGGGAGATGGCTCTAAAACAATGAAATAATAAAAATAACAAAACCAAATACAATTAAATGATAAAATAACAAAACAGCACACAAAGGGATATTAATAAAAGTATAAAACAATATAAATATAATAAAATAGCAAACAAAACAATAAAATAAATAAAAATAATATATAGAAAATCTATGAAAAATAAATACAGTGTTTATGAGAGTGGACTAGCAGCTGGGGGAAGGAGGGATGACAAAAGAAAGAATTGGAAAGATCACATCAAAAACAGGTGGCCATCAGGTTTTAAAATAAATTGACCCTGGACATTATCTGTACTATAATTGTCAAATAAGTACCACAAACCGCTTGGATTATCCTTTCTCCTCCAGACCATACTGGCTATTTAGAGAAACACTCAATATGAGTAGTTTGTGGAGCTATGAGCCGTTTTTACAGTTTCCTCGAAAAGGGCTAAGGCCCCTTTAGCAGCAGCAGCAGAAGGAAACAGAGCTGGGCCAATCTTGTAAATAACACATGAAACTTGGTGATAGCCTTCTCCGTCCTCCCACTGCATGGGAAAGGTGAGGATTTACTGGAAAAAAAGAGTTGCTGAAAAAGGGAATGTCCAAAAATGTCAAGAGTTTGTTCTCACATAAACTTCCTCTAAATCAGAGACCCCAGTTTCATTTTGGAAACAGAATAATGCAACCAGAGAAAACATGGAGTGCTAGAGGACCTTTTCTTTAAATTAAAAAAATATTTTATTACATAGTATATGGGCCTTAGCAAGACAATGATTCAAAAAGAAAATGGTGTCCATTTTAAATCTTCTGATCTTAACACAATTTTTTTTCAATAAATATTTCCCATGCACTCCCAATAACATTAATATCAATAGCAGTCCTACCCCATTAGAACATCACATTAAAATATATACATAGGGGTGTATTTCTACATATGTGCATACATATACATATATATGTGTTTATATACATATATGTATGTGTGGAGAGAAAGAAGGAAAGTGAGAGGAGAGGAGAGGAGAAAGAGAGAGAGAAGAGAAAGGAGAGAGAGAGAGAGAGAGAGAGAGAGAGAGAGATTACCTCCTTAATACTAACCTCCCTCTTAACTTACCTCTTCCTTATTCTCATTGGTTTCCCAGTTGAGTTTGATATATGTCCACACCAAAGTGTGTGTGTGTGTGTGTGTGTGTGTGTGTGTGTGTGTGTGTGTGTGTTCACCACACCACTTCCTTTTCCCATTGCAGATAAGTGGTTCCTCTGATGTTCAGTCCTACCACTTCCCGTGATAGATTTACTTTTCTAGTTGTTAGGCCAATTATGAGAATAGCAAGTGAGTTCTACCTCCTTCTTCCTCCTTTCTACAGCAATGTGCTCCTTTTACCTTCCTTCTTTTTCAATTGCTCAAATGCTTAGAACAGAACCAGTCCATTTCCAGGTGCCCCATTTTCTTATTTAACTCCCCCATAACACCCTGAAGAGTGTATTCAAGTCCTAAAAGGACAATTGCTTCTTTTTTTTTCCCATTAGGATGTTAACACTACATTATCATAAAGCCCCTTCCATTGCTCAAATAAATTGACCTTTCTAGGTTTCCCTAGAGACTCTTGTATTTGATTTCAAAGTTCTGACTCAGTTCCGATATTTTCATCAGAAATGGTTGAAAGTTATCTATTCCATTCGATGTGCATTTCTCCACCTCCCTTTAGGATTATATTCCACTTTGCAGGGTAAGTTCTTGGTTACAAGCCTAGATCTTTTGCCTTTTGGAATACTATAATTTTAATAGCCCTTCTCTGAGACTTTGGGGTAGAGTTCCAAGTTGTTTTCCAGAATAACTGGACGAGCTCATGGCTCCATCAGCAGCTCACTCGTGTGCCTGTTTTTCCTGTGGTCCCTTCCAACAATGGCTCTTTTTAATTTTTGTCATTTTTGCTAATTTAATACATAGGAAGCACAACCTCAGAATTGTTTTTCGTGTGTATTTCTCTAACTGTCATCCAGTGAAAATGGTAAGACCCAGGCCCCAGAGACTGAGTATTGTCCCCCTCTGCAGCCACATGTATCCACAGTGACACATTTAGACGTAAGTTTCCTGGGTCTTTGCCCTCTCGTCTATCATTCCTTGCCAGGTAATTCAGAGAATATCCTGATTTGTGTGGTCGGGACTAGCCTACTGCCTCGCTTTGTGAGTGACAGGGAAGTTGCCTGTTAGTGGCATGTCAGTTCCTTATTTAAAACTCTATGTAACAATAATAGCCAACGTCTACAATAGCACATTAAGGACTGCCAAGTATCAGCCCTGGGAGATGGGTGCTATTATTATGCCCATTTTACAGAATGGGGAACTGAGACAGACAGAGGTTAAGATGCCCTGGGTCACACAAAGTGACTCAAGGGTAAGTGCCCAGGGTCACACAAGTGTCTGAGGTCACATCTGAACACAGATCTTCCTCATTCTAGTCCAATGCTCTATCCCCTGGGCCATCCTGCTGAGCACTGGGTGTTTCTGGAGCCTTGGACATCCTGCCGTTCGCTGGAGATGCCAGACTGTCTGTGGAACAGGGGACAGTGGGGTGTGGGCAGAGAGGGCCCCACCTATACTATTCCTTATTGGCATTTAGTCTCCTCCCGTGGCTGAAATCCCTGTCTTGATGTCTCTCTTTGGGAATCATTCCCTTCCCTTTTCCCCCAATACTGATTTGTACATGGCAGTTAATGGCTTGAATTTCCCCATTTGAGAATTGCCTATTCATGTCTTTTGACCATTCCACATATATATGTATATAATATGCAACATAAATTATATATACATATATAATATAATATATATGTAATATATAACATATGTATATAATCTTATTTGTATGCACACGTCTATTTATCTATTTATCTATCTATCTATCTATCTATCTATCTATCTATCTATCATCTATCTATCCGTCTATCTGTCTATCTATATTCTTGGACATTAGTTCTTTATCAGAGAAACTTGCTGCACAGGTTTTTTTCCTCAGTTAACTGTGTCCCTTCAACCTTTTGTTTCAGTTCTTACCTAGCCCTTAGGCACTGAATGGGTGTTGCCTCAGACAGACTGAGATCTGCCAAAGACCTTAATACAGAAAGGCACTGCATCTTGGGCCACCACTAGCCATCTTGACTTTTGTTTTGCCACTGGAATTTGATGACTCTGGAGAAGAGAGTGAGGCTGATGACTTCATGCAGCTCTGCCTCACTTCAGTTCTGTGATGTCATTGGTCCTTTTGAGAACAATGGATGAACAATAACCAATCACCGACCACAACTTCTTACTCTTTCTTTCTGTCCTTTTATTCCCCCCTTCATGATCCACTTTTTTTTTTTTTGGTGAGGCAATTGGGGTTAAGTGACTTGCCCAGGGTCACACAGTTAGAGTCAAGGGTCTGGTCTGAGGCTGGATTTGAACCCAGGTCCTCCTGACTCCAAGGCTGGAGCTCTATGTACTGAACCACCTAGCTGCCCCCATGATCCACCTTTTGAAGCTACAGTTTGTTTTGAATATACTTAATCCCTCCCTGAATCTATCTTTTCTTTTTTTCTCCATTTTACTTTCCTTTTTATTCTGAACTTAGCAAATATCAAATAAAATGAGCATTTCCATATACAATGTAAAAGAAGAGAGGCTCTCACATGAAACTGCAAATCTGTTAGAAAGAAATTTCTTTTCTTTTCTTTCTTTTTTTCAGTCGATTTATCTTTATTTTTTATTCAATTTTATTTTATTTTCCATTCTAAATTTCCTCCCTTCCACTCCCTTCCTCTGCCCACCCACTGAGAAGACAAGAAAAACAAAATTTGTTACAACTCTGTGTAGTCATGCAAAACAAATTCCCCCATTAGTCATGTCCAAAAAAAAAAAGTGAAAGAGAGGAAAAGAAAAAAAGAGAAGGAAATATGTTTCAATCTGCACTGTGAGTCCATCGGCTCTCTGACTGGAAGCAGATTGCATATTTCATCATCAGGGTGTAGACACTCATTACTTCATGCCTGGTCTATTGCAATAGCTGCTGGTGAGTCTGTGTGTCTTAAGTCTCCTCTCTCCTATCCATTTTCCATTGAACCACTAAAGTGATTTTCCTAAAGCTCAGGTCTGACCATGATATCTCCTGCTCAATAAATTCCAGTGACTCCCTATCACTTCCAGGAGCAAATACGAAATGCTCTGTCTGGCACTCAACGCCCGTCATAGCCTAGCTCTCTCCTACCTTCCTAGCTTTCTTAACATCTCACTCCCCAACACATACTCTTTAATCCAGTGACACCGGCCTCCTGGCTATTCCATGAACAAGACACTCCATTTCTCGGCTCTGGGCATTTTCTCTGTCTGTCTCCCATGCCTGGGTCTCAGGTTTTCCTGAAACCATCTCCATTGGTTTTTTTTTTTTAAATAGCTCAGTAGCATTCCATTGTAATCATATGTCACAACCTGTTCAACCATTCTGCGGCAGATAGACATTGTCGCAATTTCCAGTTCTTTGCCACCACAGAAAGAAATTAGTATAAATATTTTTGCACATTGTTGAGGGCCGATCTTAAGAGTCTGATATGGGTTTAAGATACAGGGCAGAGTTTGACCTCTGCCCAGGCTTTTACCCAAAAGGGCTCACCTGAGACATTCCTTCTCACTCTTTGAATCTTAGATTTACATATTCACTCCTCTATACGGGGGCCAGGAAAAAGCCTGGGAATTTACAACTCTATCTGGAACTCTGATAAGGAGGAAATGTATGTTATCATATCCTTAGCAGATGTTTCGGGGAGTGTCTCATGGGGAGGACTCTTCGATTTTCTCTATATATCCTGTACTCTCAGAAAAATAAACTGAGTCAGTTTTCTGCTCCGCCTGGTCCCACTTCATGTCTTATTTCACGCCTCTCAGTTCAGTGTACTATCTGGTTGCAGGCGACAGCACATATAGGCCCTTTCCCTTTTTTGTAATCTTTTAGGGGTATAGACCCTAGGTCTATATTCCTAGGTCAAAGGGTAATGCACAGTTTTATGGCCCTTTGGGCATAGTTCCAAATTGCTCTAGAAAAGTTGTGTCAGTTCACAACTCCACCAACAGTGCATTAGTGTCCCAGTTTTCCAGCATCCTCTCCAACACTTACCATTTTCCTTTTCTGTCACATTAGCCAATCTGAGAGGAGTGAGGTGGTACCTCTGAGTTGTTTCAATTTGCATTTCTCTAAGCAATAGCAATTTAGAACGTTTTGATGTGCTTACTGATAGCTCTGATTTCTACAAGAAGGTCTATTCTTAAGAGGACTGGAATATAAGAATACCTTGAAGGACCAAGCTGAATCAACTAATGCAGGCATTTGTTCATCCACAGAATAGTGGGATGAACATTTTAATTTCAGAATGAAGTTAAAATAAAATTTTGAGTCTTTTAGAGTTAAAGTCTTGGTGGATTTAAAGTATAACTGGAATACAAATGTGGAAGAGAATACTTTATTCAAAAAGAGAGGGCAGCTAGGTGGTGCCATGGATAGAGTGCAGGGCTGGAGTCAGGAGGACCTGCATTCAAATCTGCCCTCAGACACTAGCTGCGTGACCGTGGGCAAGTCACTTAACCCCAATTGCCTAAAAAAAAAAGAAAAAAAAGGAAAAGAATAGAGAACAGGGCTAGTGAAATTATATTGCACAATAAGAAGATATATTTATGTGAAGTATTGGGGGGAAACTTGATAAAGCACCTTGGGGTGAGAAGCAGGGCTCTGCTTAGAATCAACTTGAAATGGCTTAGAGAAAGCCAATTGTTAAATTTTCAGTGTGAACATTTGTGTCTTGGAAATTGGCAAATGCTACAAATCAGGGCTTGGTTTATTGTTTTGATGACTATCTAGACTTAAAAAATGATGGAAGAAATGTTAATAATGCAGATGAAATTTGAGTCTATTGTATATGCATTTTTTTGGAAAGCCAGTTGTTAAACATTTACCAGCACATGTCTGGGTGAGGATAGATTAATGGAGGGAAAAAAAAAGTGAGATTATCATGGGAATATACTACTGACCAATCAGTCAGAACAGTAAATATATGATGAGCTGAAGAAATAGATCACAAATTTAGCATGGGAGAGCGAGGAGAATCTTCTCCCTGACCGCTTAGTCAAAACCCAACAAATGCTCAATTCTTAATTTGACATATGTACTGATGATTTCCTTTTTTTGTTGTTGTTGTACATAAT